AGCTTCCTCAGCCTGTCTTCATAGGGTTTTTTGAACTGTTTTAATCTGTCCTGTAAGGATGAACATCTTTACAGACTCTCCTGGTTGTCCTGGGTATGGCTGAATTGCGGTATTACCTGTTAGCATACTGGTAAGCAGCTGAAAGCTTGTCAAAATTATCTGCAGGCATGATCATCAGAATTTCCAATGCCTTGTGCAAGTAACTGATTTCTTTTTTTTCCTGTGTAGTGCCTTATAATTGAGCATATTCCTAACCTGTTACTGTCTAAGAGGGTTATTTAGTTTTGTGTTTAGATAGCACAGTCAAACTTTAGTTTTCAAATTTCCATTTTGTGGTATTTCCAGCTCACTCATTCAGTTGAGTGATTCAGTGTACCTGGTTTACTATTTCCTCCTCAGTTTTTCATTTTTTTCCATATCACCCATTTAAATCACGTAACTTCGATAGTTTGTTAATAAGGGGATAAATGCAGATCATTTAATGGGTGCCTATGGTTATGACAAACATGACAGTAATTAACTGCTTTGAGACAGCTGGAGCACAGGGTGACAGATCCTGAGATCTTTCTGTTCAGTACGTGACCAGGCACTGATAAATGAGACAAATTTATGTGAACTATGTTTTATGCAGATTCAGAACTTCAGGAAAAAGAATGATAGAGAATGCTTTGAAATGTGGCTGTCTTACTGTTGGATGGTTTATACCTTTAAAATAGAATTAGTAGTGATTTGCAAGAGTGTTAGTTTTCCTTGATGAATATGTTTTCTTGTGTCTTTGACACAGATAAATACTCTGGGAGATAAAAATTCTGTAACTAACCTCGTCCTTAATCTGGATGAAGTAGATCCTGATGTTGCCTATTCATCTGTTCCATATGAGAAAGGCTTTGCTTTGCTTTTTTACCTTGAACAACTTCTTGGAGGACCAGGTAAGTGTTAGTCAGACTTTGTATATTATTGTTTTCCATTTTCATTTCAAACACTGAAACAGTTTGTTTTTTAACTGTTAGATGTCTTCATTGGCTTCTTGAAGGCTTATGTTCAGCAGTTTGCTTATAAGAGCATAGTAACTGAGGACTGGAAGAAGTTCTTGTACTCCTACTTCAAGGATAAGGTTGGGTAGTATTTCAAACTACTTGCTTGAAACCTTTCAGTTATGTGAAATTATGGCGTAGCTCATGACTTACCTTCTTTAAAGACCAGTTCTTTATCTTTCTTTTCTTTATTTGAAGATCTTAATGTGATGTCATCTGGCATTTTATGAAGATGGGTTTGCATTATGATGCTTTGTTCTTTCTTTCCATAGAAGGGAATATTTTGTTTTCAAGTAATCTGTATAAGATTCTCCAGGGTAATTGGAGAAACATTAACAAAACAAAAAAAAACCTCTGAAACCAGATTTCATTGGGTATGCTTTTCTTAAAACAAACCCAAAAACCCAAACTAAAATCACATTTAATAAGATTTTATGTTGCTTCGTAGGTAGATGTTCTTGATAAAGTTGATTGGAACTCATGGTTCCATGCTCCAGGA